ATTTGTTACATGTCAAGAAATTCAACAGCAGGTGAATGTAGCCACTTCTTTGAAAAAAATGACCTTTTTCCTGTAGAAGGCTGCAATAGTTCCTGTAGGAAGTCGCAAAACGACCGAGGTTTACGTCGAAAGCACCACAGGTCGTGTTCGCCTCAATAAAGGTCAATAAGAAAGGGACTGGGCAAAACTTGCATCAATAATGCAACTGTTTTGAAACCACTTTCAAGTAACACCATAGTATGCGAATGTGCAAGAACACATTCTCAAAGGTTCATTAGATATTTAAAATCTAATGAACATTTAACACTGCAACTGGAAGACATTTTAAATGTTCAAAATAAATAAAACATAAACAACAAAAGGGTTAGTGGAAACCAAAGCACCAGACCAGTTTTTGATAAAAAGAGAGAGAAAAGAGAAAAACAATAAATAAAGCAAAAGGAAATTGAGTTTATTTTTAATTTATCATGTGATTAATTGATTTATTGCTTATTGCAACAGTCCTAGATGGAATCGTGATTTATTCTCTCTACCCCAAGTAGAGGAATATCCATGTCTGCCTTAAGCAAATCCACTCTTTTGTCATGTAGCAGGACAGTGGTCCAACCTCCAACACCTCAAATACAAACAAATGAAGGTTCTGGAGTGATTCTGTCAAAGGCCCGACTCAAATCCAGTTGAGATGCTTCTAGTCTGGCTGAATTAAAACAAGTGATGAAAACGTTTGTTGGCTCCATTAAAGGTTGCACAAATAATTAGGTTGCATTTTCCCATACGGCTGGATTGAATAGAATGACTTTTTTCTCCCTTAGTAATTGACGTCATAATGTGAAAACTGGGTTTTATATTTACTTTGTATATTTTTATTTTATACTGATATGAATTTGAAACATTTGCAACAAAAAAGCAAGCAGAAGAAATCGGTACGAGGGTAAATACATTTGTTATCAATGCAGCTTGTGTATTTTACCCAAACTGTTGAGAGAGCTGAAACTTTGTGTAATCTTTAAAACTCATGAGTCATTGTTGTAGTCTGTGTTGCAACGACGCTGTTCCGTTTTTCATTTTACTCCAGGGAATATGTTGCTGAAATTGTGAGGCATTTGTGTCACAAAGTTCAAATATCTGCTTGAATCAAAGGAAGCGTTTGCTGTCCTTTATTAAACCTGTTTCTGGTTCGTCACAAAGGAAATAATGAGATAATAAAAGCTTGACAAAAGGTGCTGATTTATTATTTTTTGTCCTTTTGTTGTTTTTATCATGCAATGGATGGGAAACCTTCCAGCTGCACATCTGCACTTCCTCTCGAACATCTGGTTGGGAAAAAACTCTGGAATAAGCCCAGAAATATTTCCAAATACTTCATCTGTTTTGCTTTTTCTTCTCAGCACTTTAACTCGTATTTTGAGCCTTCTGTTACCATTTTCTTTGTTTCAATACGTTAAATAAATGTTTTATGATGTCTTAAGAGTTTAGCCGACATATTCTCCTGCTTAGCTTCCTCATTGTTTTGTCTGTGCTAACCAACTTCACTTCCTTAAAAAATTATATTTATAAAGTACAAGGTAAGAAACTTTTTATTTCTGTTTTTTTAGAGATTTTTGTTTTATTTAAGGATAAGTAAATGTCAACATCCTGCTTGTTTGTGGAATGCTTATCCGGCTGATCTCAAGAAGAATGTTAAGATGTAAAACAAAGTTGCTTGATTGACCATAAGCTACTTTGCATCCTGTTTTCAGTGTTTCGTAAACTACTCATCTCACAGTTGAGCGTAAGCACAAACAAGATTAAAGCATGCTTTACTTTTGCTTCTGTTAGTCTTGACAGAGTTCAGTTTGAGGAAGTATACATGCAGAATTTTATCTGTACTTGTACTTTTCCTCTCATCCTCTCAGTCTTTCTCCTCATCTGTCTCTCACTCTGCGCTGCATTTTAATGTCTCGTAGATTAAAAATTGCAGTGCTTACCGTCCTTTTATTCCCCTCCGAAACCTTTGGTCCCGTCGTGACATTCTGCTCTGCTAAGTGACCGATACACAGCCGTCACACACAACCCACCCAGTTGAGTAAGAGTGTTGCTAGCAGCATGGGTTTCTGAGCGAATCAGACGCTCACTCTGCCGTGACAGTAGCAGGCGTTCCCCTTTTCTTTTCTGCCGCCTTTCTCCATGTGCAAAGGCTTCCTGTGCATATGGTCCCTTCTCTGTGGGTGGTTTGTTGTTAGTGTGAGAAAAAACCAGCCCTCTGAAATCAGCTGGAAAAAAAGGCCCATCCCAGTTATAGAAGCTGCACTCCGCCCTCCCTTTCCTGTCCTTTCCAGTACGTAGACCTCTGCAAGATACAGTTACACTTATTTGCAGACTCCTCAAAATGTAGTAGAGCTAAATTCAGAATAAAATCTGATCCCCTCATGAGGGTCCATTGCTTCTCACAGAGGTGGTGTGTGAAAGTCTACGTTTTGAAATCCAGCTTGTTCCCATTAGCGCAGGCATAATCTCTTTATGAATGCTCCAATTACTGCACTGTCAAGATCCCACAGCAAAGCAATCCATTCATCCCACACAACAAACAAAGAGGAGAATTAGACAAAGCAGCTTAGAGGTAGAAGAACAGAACCATTGATTCTGTTTGGTATAAAGTTCCTCAAGGATTCATGTAATGAGAGTAATAATAGTAAAGGTAGACTTCTAATAGGATGATATATGAATATGTCTTATTATAGTATACCCTATCCTGTTTAGCCACAAAAATCAGACAAAATATGAGTAAAAAGGCAGTTCAGTGGAAACATTTGATTTTAAAAGATGCATATTGTAACTTCAGAGAAGTTTCTAACTAAATGCTTTTCCAAATTATATGAACCATAATCAATTAAATTAACAGCTTGATAAATAAAGGCCCCTTTTTATATGTAATCAGCATTATGTAGTAATTATTCATACTCATTTACATTTACTTGAGTAACTTTTTCGAACAAATGTATTTTCCTATGCTGTACTTTTTACTTCTACTTCATTATAAAGTATCACTACTTTTACTTGAGAACAGTTTCTGGATTTCCACTGAATGAAAAACAAACGTTTTAACCAAAAATTCACCAGACACAAAAGTTTCACAAGGTTTTTATTAAAATAAACTAATTCCTGATGAAAACTGATGAAAAAGTTTCTTTTGTCTGACTTTGTTATTTTTTACCCCAAACCCTGATTAGAAGGCAGATTATCTGAATTGCCAGGCTCTGTGATACCAACTTTAACTCAATTCTGAGTCAAGTTACCCCAAAGTTGAGCTTGAGCGCGAGTGTAGAAGAACGCCATTCACCATGGCAACGGGTGAAAAAAGAGAATCGTGGAAGTGCGAATTTCCTGCCAATGGAATCAGAAATATTAATGACAGCATGAGGAGAATATCAAAACATATTCAGCAAAAACAGGTAAGCTAATTTTATCTATATAGCACATTTTCAGCAATAAGGCAGTTCAAACGTGTCAAACTTGAGGTCTGGGGGCCAAAACTGGCCCAGCGTAGTTTTTGATGTGGCCCCCTAGACTCCATATTACATCTATAATCCCTCCAGTTTTTCACAATCCACAAAATTCACACAAAATCAACAGATACCCACATTTTTTCTAATTTTACTGAATGTTTTTCTCAAAATTGGCCAAAAACGTTGGATTTAAGTGACTGCTGCCTCAGCCTTACCTGATCTCAAATTATAGTTGTTTATTAATTGATTAATAAAAACTCACATTTAACATTAGTGGATTAGTGCAAATATACAAAGTCCTTTCAAATATTTCTAAATTAACACCACAAAAAACCCACAAAAACAATCACAAAATCCTTAATGGTCAGATCAGTGTGAAAAGATGTTCAGTATTATTTTGTTTTAAGAAACACATATTGAATGCTGAAGTAGCTACTTATTGATATTTTAGCAAGTTAATGGGTTTTATCAATACATTCTGGTTCAACCAGTCTTTTAGGAACATTCAGATTTTTGATGTGGCGCAAAATGAAAACGACTTCCCCGAATTAGAAGGAAATACAAACAAAACTAAAAGAAATCCATAATTTATAAACTAGTAGGGGTTTCTCTGGATTCTTGTTCTGATAAAACTGAAAGAGTTTGATTTAGCAGAAAATTAGGCTACTTTCACATTGGCGATGATTTTCTTAATTTTGGGAGATTGTGATCAGCTGATATTTAAATGTGAAGCTGATCTGATCTGCCTGAGGGAAGGCCTAGTATTTAGCTGCCGTCCTCTTCTGCTTTTACGTGAGAGAGGTTTGACTGACAGGCCGGCCCACCAGGTCACAGTCACCCACTGTTACCAACTCAGTGACTGTCTTGCTATATTTAGCAACATTTTAGACAAAGCAAATTGGTATCGGCAGGTGAAACTTTTTAAAGGTCGGTAATCGTGATCGTCCAGAAAACTGCAACATGCAGAATTTGCATGTTGCAGAGAATTTTGGCATTTTATGTCTTTAAGAACTTTTAGTTCACTTTATTGGATCTCAACTTGTACACAGACGCTTCAAAACCTGCAAGAGCCCTGAATTAAGGAAGCTTTGTTAAAAAGACTGACTTCCTTCTGCAGCTTCTGATGCTTTTATTGTTTGTTAAAACAGAAATGCTACGTTCTGTTTGTTACTTCTGATTCTTTCCCGCTGACAGATGTGTGTTTGTGTTGTTGCTTACCACTTTATTTGTATTTGCTCTCCCATGATTAACACAATTATCTTTTGATTTCCATAAGTCAGCTTGAAAATGGCGTTGAACTTTCCTGCTATGCCTCAGAATCACAATAGCCGCCATTTTTCGATTCCTTTTTTAGGCCCTTGGTTTTAAAAGAGTAACCACAGATAGAAATGTGAAAACACACATCTGTTTCTTTGTATGTGTCTTCCTCTTCCTGATTGCCACTCAGTTTTTGGACATTAATGTCCAGCATTATGCCTATGACTTCCTGTGGCTAAAATAAAACAAACAAACTCCGTATTAGAACCAGATTTTATTGTTCTTCTCTTTTCTTCAGGAAACAATGTACAAAAGCTCATAATTTTCTTCATAGGCAAAACAAACAAAACAAATGTTAAACACATGTAGAGCTACAGGATAGAAAGACAAGCTCATTTACATTAAGATTTTAAAATTATCTAGATTCTTAGGGACAATGTAGAAAACACATCATCTATTTATGAAGGTGTTAGGCATGTTTCAAAATGCCCACTTGCAAGATGTAGGCAAATAAAAGAGGTGTCCAAATACATTTATTTGCATAATTTAAAAATACTAGTAAGTGTGAGCTCTTTCTTTTCAACAGTGTTACAAGACAAGAATGAAAAGTAGTTAAAAGTTGTTGCCCTTTTTCCTCATATTTCATATTTGGTTAGATTTTCTCAATGTCGCGTACAAAATCTGACAAAGTCACATTGTACTGTAAATACAACATCCTTACTGCACAAATACAAACACATTTACTAGAATTTTACATTAAAAATTCTTTGTTACTTTGTAAGAAGTGTTAAAATCTGCAGGTCCTGAGGTGTGAGTACAGTGACACGAACAAAATCTTTTCAAGGATTATAGGAAGAACATTAAAGTTGTCCTTCCTTCCACAAAAATAAAAATGTCTGTATTTTGTCTACTGAAAGCTTATAAATCAGTTTGGGTTAAAAGCGGCTTTGAAACTAAAATGTGAAACTAAAGATAAATTCAGTGTTAGTGTATTAAGGCAATTTTTTAGCAGTGTGTCAGCATGCAGACAGAGCTGAAGGATCTGCCCAAAAAATCATAATAAACAATATTGCAGTTCATATTTAACACAGCATCTATGAACAAAACATTATATTAAACAGCTTGGTCATAAAATGTGACTCGTTTTGGATTCTCAGCCTAGACAGAAATTGTTTTCTCCAATTTCTGTTCTTTTCTTGTAGAAAACTAATGTAAATACATTGTTAAATTAAACTAGTCTACAACAGAAGGCTGATTTTAAGAAATATTCAGAAAAAATTATAAAAATGTAGCTTTTTGAACGTGTTATGGCCTTAGTTTCTAAGTCAGCTAAGACATTCACAAGCTGTAATCATGCTATAGCACCACTATTGTTTCAATGAGGTCACTTCCTGTCTGTCGGTCTCTCACTTCCTCCTTCGGCCACAGTAGTTACCCTGACAGGCTCCACCTAATAGCAGCAACAAAGACAGTTACTCTCCAGCTGACGTACAAAGACGCCAGGAGTGTTAGACATGTGATAATACTTTTCCTTATTCTGTGACAAATAAACTTTACTTCTTTTCATGTGAGATGTCAAATATTTCTGTTGTAATGAAAGTCACAAAGTTTCTGTTTCTTTAGAAGCTGAATAACTAATTGCAACATGTTTTTCTCAAGAAAGAAAGCAGGATATCCTGTGATGGATTTGTTTATTTGAATAGATATGAAGTTACTGGCCACTTTATTAGGTACATCTGTTCTGTTTGCTTGTTGATGTAAATCAAATGGTAACAATTTAATGCAGCTAGGCATCTGAAGCCGACTTCCTGAAGGAGAAGTTTTTCAGAAACTTCAAATCTACTGTGGTTTTCACAAAATAACCACTCAAAAAGAGGAAACATCCGTTGAAAGGTAGTTGTGTGGATGAAAATGCTGTGTTTATTTCAACAATGACGCTTTTATTTCCAAAATTGTGTTATTTCTCTAAGCCAGTTCTGAAGGCATAAGGGAGGCCCAACCCTTTCTTAAATCAATTAAATAAATAAATCTATTAATTGCACGATGAATTAAAACAAGCTCAATAATTTCCATTTGCATCATTTATCATTTTTCTCTTTTCTTTCTTTCTACAAAAAACTGGATGACAAAAGGTTTTAGTTACCACTAGCTTATTTTGAAGAACAATTTTGTTTTCAGAGACCTCAGTATCCATTGTTTGTTGTTTTGTTAGTTAAATTTGGACATTTAAAATGTCTTCCAGTTCCAGTGTTAAATCTTCATTAGAATTTGAAGTTTATTGATTTTTGAAAATGTGTTCTTGTATTATTTTGCTACCATTATATTACTTGAAATTGGTCTCAGAAACAATAACTTCTGGAACAACAGGTTATGTAATAATTTGATTTTTGTTACCTCTGTAGCCTCCAGTTCCAAGGAAGCCCTGCATGGCTGCGTATTTGGCTGCTTTCTGTGCTTTGGCTGAAAGTGGTGAAAAATAAAAACAGCTTATTTCCACAGAAAAATCCAAGTTTTTTTTTTTTTTTAAATGGCTTTTAAAAGGTAAATAAAATTAGTATGTGTTGTGCTGAACCAAACGTCCAAAGGAAGCTTCTTGTTTTCAGTTAATATAGACTCTGCGAATGCTGAATGGTGTGGCTCAACTAGAGTACAAAGTAAGTTTTCTTACACTTTTGTCCTGTCCCTGCATATCCTAGGGAACAATAGCAGGAAAAGACACAGTTAACAATAGATTCTGTTAACAATAGTTTCATTTTTTAAGTCATTTTTAAGATGACACAAACAGCAACTTCAAGACTGAAGAATGTCTTTGTAAGAAAGCCTGTTGTCCGGTGAAGGTCATTTTACCTGGATAGCTTCCTCCTGCCGCTCCGCCATATCCAGGCACAGCTCCCCCTCCTGGTGCAACATGCACATTACAACTTAAAACTGTTTCTCCTGAACTGTTAAGACAGTTAAGATTTTTTTTGCTTCATCTGAATGTGTTTTTATTACTAATTTTTATATTGTGGTTAATAATAAATGAGTTTTTATTTTTCATAGCTCTGTGGGACGAACCTGGTTGACCGCCTACTCCTCCAACTGTTTGACCTCCTCCAGCGCCTCCTGCACCTCCAGCTGCAGTACCTGAACAAGCAAGTTAAAGTGAATAAGTGACTTAGATTTCTCTGTGTAATACAGCATTTTATAGCAAATAAAATCTGAAGAACACTAAGTTTAAGAGCAATGTCTTTTTGAAAGTTGTATCCTGCCTGGTCCCCCTCCTACAAATCCTCCTGTTCCTGCACCTGGACGGCTTCCAACTCCTGCACAAGGAGGTTGGAGGCAAGTAATCTTGTTTAGATAAATTACAGGCAACTCAGTCGGTATAGTAAAGATTCTGATCATTTACACAAGAAATAAAAAGAAAATAAATAGTTTTAAATTAAAGGTGCAGTCTTTTGCAGGCACATCTTGTCATTTTATAGCACAATCTGATGCTATATGATGTATATATCAGACATGACTTAAAAGAAATTTGATGCCTTGAATTGGGCCTTTGTCTCTTTAAGAAGCTCCTGCTCTTTTCGACAAGCCGCCTTCAGCACATCATCAGAACAATGTTTCTCCACTAGCCCTTTCACAAGGTCCTCAGGAGTGTTGCACTTGCAGCAGCTCATATGTTAAGCTCAGTTCCATCAGGTGTTTGCTAATTGCTGCTGCCGCTAGTCTGAAGGAGCTGAGTCAATGGGAGGAATGCTCCGAGACAGCAGGTGTTTTGGCTTGAATGGCTGCAACAGGAGATTCAAGGATTTCTCAAACATGCATGAAAGAGTTGAAGCAACTCTCCAGGAGTGGTTTGATGAGGGAATAACATTATAAACATGATGTGAGGCTCAAAAACAGGTGATTTTACATAATAGGTTAATAACGTTCTTCATAAAAAAAATTAGGCAAAAGCGACCGATGTATATGAATGACCAGCACACTCAGTGAGGCTTTATTATGTCATGTCTGTAAATGTAGCATGCATCCAGATCCCAACCCAAAGCAGGAAATTGTCTGGAGCAAACTCAGTAATGAAATGTCAACATTTACATGGTTGGTTTGTCTCGTTATTCAATGCTTGTGTGAAAGGTCAGTTGCAGACATTGTTCAGACCGGATTCCCAGAACATTGTCAGGAATTACTGAGACGGTGTTTGTAGTTAGATGTTTCAGGATTTCCCTGTTTTTACCCACTATAATTTGTTTGTCCTTTTTGACGGTCAAACTACACTGGATGTAGGGGGTAAAAGACCAGCACCATGTGCAAACTTTTTTAATGTTCTGTTTTTAATAAGGCATTTTAGATACATCTACCTTGTCCATGTCCAGTTGCACCCAAAGTTGAACCATATCCAGACTTTCTTGATCCAAGTGGTTGGCCACCAGGACCAAAGCTGCCTCCCCCAGTGCCTCCAGGACCAAAGCTGCCTCCCCCAGTGCCTCCAGGACCAAAGCTGCCTCCCCCAGTCCCTCCAGGACCAAAGCTTCCTCCCCCAGTGCCTCCAGGACCAAAGCTGCCTCCCCCAGTCCCTCCAGGACCAAAGCTGCCTCCTCCAGTCCCAAAACCAGTAGATCCAGTACCCCCAGTGCCACCTGGCCCGTATCCTCCAGGTCTAGCTCCAGGTCCACCAAGACCGGCTCCTCCTGAACCTCCGGTCAGGACAAAGAGTGCATTAAAGATATAAATATAGATATAAACAGTTCATTATTCATTAAACTTAAACTGGATTACCTGGTCCATAACCAGTTCCTCCATAACCTGGAAGTACAAAAATGAAAAGATGAAAATCAATCCGTTTTATTATTTTCAAAAAATCAAAGCCATTTTTATGTCTACCTGTGTGAACCCTACGTACCAGATTTAGGTTTCCTTTTTCCTAGTCCTTGACCAGCTGGTCCAAAACCAGTTGCAGGTCCAAAGCCTCCAGTTCCAGCACCAGCAGGTCCAAAGCCTCCAGTTCCAGCACCAGCGGGTCCGAAGCCTCCAGTTCCAGCACCAGCTACACCAGGTGCGACTCCTCCAGTCCCAAAAGAACCAGGTCCATATCTGCCAGGTCCAGTTCCTGCTCCACCAGCTGCACCTGAAAAATGGAAATACACATTCTGTTCTAGCTTTGCAAGAAATAAACTTTAGGTGCTTTTTAATGCAACAGTTGATAACATTTTCTAAAAATTATATATATTTTTACATATTTGTTAAAATGTCACAATGTCCTGACAGTATAACATAATTTTTGAAAATTTGAATTTTGAAAAAAATTATTTTAGTTTCATACCAGAAAACCTGCTAAGCCCATTGGGAGGGGCGCCAACACAGTCCACCAGCAGCCCAATATGTTTTCATGAGCAGGCATCATGATTTGGAAATAATATCTTGTGGGGTCAAAGGGCAGGTGCAGGGACAGTGGAGTTGGTGCCCGTTTAAATTACACAATGATGTCAACATCATTGTTTAATTGATGCGATTAAACAATGATGGGGGGGGGGCAAGTAAAGCCTGGTGGCCCGCCAGGCTTATATGCACTGGAGGAAGCCCTTTTATCAACATGCAAGGGAAAGCTGGCTCATTCATGGGGTTTAGTCACATTTTCCCTTTTGAAACAAATGAATAAAATTAAATTACCTTGTCCGTATCCAGCTCCACCCAGTGATGTTCCGTAGCCTGTCAACAGCGTTTAACGTTTTGAAATGTGTCACAGTATTTAATTGTTAAATGTATTTATTATTCTACCTGTTTTTGACGGTTTTCTTGTTCCCAGTCCTTGACCTCCAGTATAAACTCCAGGAATAGGCCCAACTCCACCAGTACCAACACTACCTGGTCCATAGGTACCTGGTCTAGTTCCAACACCTCCCAGTCCTGTGCCAGCAGAGCCAGGGCCAAGTCCGGCTTGACCAGTACCACTGGGTCCGTAACCACCACCAGGCACCAAGCCACCTGGACCAACTCCTCCTGATCCAGCTCCATATCTGCCAAGGCCAGCTCCGGCTCCATAACCTGAAATTAAATCCTGTTTAGCTCCAGTTTCCTCCCATTATAATCTGCATTTAATCTGTGCTTTCATACTTTTTGGGGGTTTCCCGGATCCGGAACCGGTGCCATATCTAGAACCTGGTTAACACAAATTACAAACAGGTTCCCTGTTAGTCTGATTAAACTAAATCCAACTGTTTTACTTGTTTTTATTTTTTAAATGTTTGTATTAGTGAACCTACCATCAGGTCCGATGCCACCACCATATCCACCCAGCCCAACGCTGACGCTACCAGAACCTGGTGCTACACCTCCAGGGCCCGTTCCAACCCCAGGAGTCCCAACACTGCCAGAACCGCCAATGGGTCTCCCAAATCCACCAGACCCAGTACCATAGCCGCCTGAACCTACACCAAAACCTCCTGTACCAGTACCATAGCCGCCAGAACCAGCACCAGGGTAGCGTGGACCTGAGTTGGAAAGAACGTACATGCTGCACCACAGTTCAAGCGTTTTCCAACGTTGGACTGGAAGTTTACGTACCTCCACCTGGTAAAACTCCACCTGCGCCGTAGCCTGCAGGAGACGATAAGTGAGATGTATAAATTAAATGTCAGTAAATTACAGATGAATGAAAAACATTCTGAAGGTAAAACATGGCTGCTGCTCACTTTTTTCAGGTTTTACGACTTCTGTCGCTACCCCACCAGCTCCGGGTACCACCCCACCGACTCCACCTGGTCCAACACCTATAAAGTAAGAAAAAAACATTTTTCCAGTATTTGTTCAGATTTTTTTTGTCCCTTGTAACTTTAGTCCATTCGTTTGTTGGTCGTATACTTGATAAAATCAGGACCTTGAGGTGGTTTCGCTGTTCCTCCTGCTGGTCCGATTTCTCTTCCAGTGGCTGGACCGTCGCCTCTTCCCACTCCTGTTTGTGTTCCAGAAACGTCTCCGGTTCCCCCGGCACCGGTCGGACTCCCGGGCCTTCTGTCTCTTTCTCCATCAGGACCTCCTTCCCCATCTCCCTCACCTGGTGTGTCACCTCTAGGAACACCTGTAAGACAAAACCAAAAACATTACAAAGTCTATTGGATGACCGAACAGCAGAGATGTTGCTCCTCCATAGTTTCCAGGCTTTTTGTCTGATTACCTGTATTCAGAGTTGAGTAGTAACTAGTTACATTTACTCAATTACATTTACATGACTAACTTTTTTTTTTTTTGAAAAATTTTACTTTTAGTAGTAATTTTTCTTTTTTCTTTTACTTGAGTAATTTTATTATGAAGTATCTCTTACTTGAGTAAAATTTCTGCATTTTCTACCCATTGAATGAAAAACAAATTTCAACCAAAAATTCACCAGACACACACCTGCAGAAAATTTCTGTCATTTTTTGTTACTTATATGAATTATTGCTATTTTTATCCTTAAAATACCAAAATTTCCACTTAACTTTATAATCTGCTTTGTCTGATTATGTAATTTTTTAAATATTAAATGACTGAATTTTAATCTGTTACTCAGTAGTTGAGTAGACTTTTTTATCAAATACTTTTTATTCTTCCTTGATTAAATTTGGGATGGCTACTTTTTACTTGCATAAAAATATGTTGAAGTACTGCTACTCTTACTTGAGTAAACGTTTTGGGTGCTCTACCCGCCTCTGTATTTACTCAGACATAAATAACGTGTGGAATCTGTTTATCTTTAAAACACTGATCATATTAAAATTTAAAAAGATTGGAGTGTAAATTTAAGGCACTTTTACCAGAATTTTATTAATAAAAATGTTAGCTTTTATGAATTACTTTTCACTTTACAATTACAAACTACTTTGTGTTGGTCTGCCACATAAAATTGAATAACATAAATAATGTTTTTGATTGTATTTTGACAAAATGTGAAGATATTCCATTGATATTACTATTACGACTCTGTTCTCTCATTTTATTTTTTCCTTTCTTGTATTTCTTCTTGTTTTAGTGCTGAAAAAGCAAAAAGAATAGTTCAAAGGTAACAATAATGTTTGTTTTGCCTAAACCAGACTCATTTTATTCACCTGGAGGTTTGAGAGGACTGACTTGTTGGAGTCCTCCCCCGGAGAGGTCACCTCCAGGACCTGCATAAATCAGAAAATTAAATCAAAACAAGTTTTCTTCCTGGTTTCGGTCATATGAAGCAATTAGAATACACTGCAGTGATTAACTCTCACCTCCAGGGGGAAGTCTTGTTCCACCTGAATTTTAGAGAATTTAAAACGTGATGCCAAAGTGACAATATTTTATCAACTATCAACTGAATTTCTGATGGTTCAACTTACCAACTGCTGTTCCTCCTGTTTAAAACAAGAAACACTTTTAAAAAATATGCACTTACCAGTAGTGTACACAGTGGATGAAATCAGTTCATGAAGCAACACCTACCATCTGTTTGTGCAGGTGAACCACCAACTGTAAAGGGAAAACAACATGTTTTTATTCAGGATTCAAATTTAAATTCTTCTTCTCGGAACTTTTCAAGGTTTATTTTTTGTGGTGCACACATATTCAAAACCATTAAATTAGGAAAAATAAAATAATTACTGGCTGGATCAGTGTTTGCCTTGGTTTTGCTATAATACTTTTGTTTTTGTTTATTTTTGAAGTTAACAAAAAGTAAAATATACATTATATACATTATATACATCTCTACACTTTGGTGAAAGATGTCACCAAAGTGTGGAGATGTATTCTTTACAATATATAAAATTACAAGACGCAATAATAAATCATCCATTTTGTTTATAAACCACCCTAATTTTTGGCCAAATATAACAAAAATAAAAGAATGTTTCCTTACTATTCATGAAATGCATTTTAATTTAGAAATCCCAATATTTATGTTGTATAAATGCATCAATGAACAGCACTCACTGTTTTATCTACATTTTAAAAACCAGTCAAATAAAAAATGTTCGACATGATCCAATGATTCCTTCATTTTCTTTTAGATTCAAAATTATTACATTTATAAAATGACGCTCACATAACATTTTTCTCTTTTATTTGTTGAAGTTTTAAGAAATAAAATATATAAGTTAGTTGACGTTGGAAGTAGCAGTCAGACTTCAAAGAAAATTGGAAATCAGTAACAGCCAGGAAACATATAATCTTAAAAGACAACTAATATGTTTTAACTATCTTTTGTTAAAACATAAATTTTCTAAATTGAGTCATTAGTGCCTGAGGTAAACTTATCAAACCTTTGATGATATGAGAGTCAAAAAGATAAACAGTTTAATTTGAGGAGCATATACATGAATCCAAAGATTTTCTGATTCTTGTTCTGTTTATCTAAATGTTCCTGGAACAGCTTTATAGCCAAACATTAAACCAACACAAACTAAAAGTTATTTATCTCATTTATAAATTTTACACATAAAATGTAAATCTTTCATTACTCATTCAGTTTGAATGAGTAATGAAATTAAAGTGTCCTGTTAACGTCACATGGGGGCGCTGTTTGAGAAGTCCATGAAAACATTGCTTATGTAAAGTGAAATTATAGACGCCCACAAAGACTGATTACATTATAACCTGACTTCACTTTTACAAATTGTAAAAGAATCTCACCTGGAACTGTATTCCCATTAAATCCTATTTTAGAACAATGATTAAATGGGTATAAATGAATCGTAGCTTTAAGATAATGTCTGGCATTTGCACAATAGTATTTTTAAAACACTTCAGCATATTTGATATGTATTTTGGTTGGAATTACCTGGTGTTGCTCCAATGATGGGGATACTGGTTCCATTTGCACTATCTCCCTCGCCTCCCAGTGGTCTTCCACCTACACCAGTCTGTCCTGTTTTAATATTAATTTACATGAATCAACCTTTTAATCTAGACAGATTAATCTCATTTAATAGAAATAATTTCAAGTTTCACACACCATCTCCTCCAGGAATCCCCGAGCCCTCTAACGTAGTGCTAGCACCACCATCACCTGGACAATTAGTTAAAAAAATAATTTAAAACTTTCTAATTATGAATAAGAGAAACTTCATCTGAGGAGCTATAGATACCTTCTCCTGCTGGTGTTGATGTGCCATTTGGAGATCCAGGTCTTCCTTCTGATCCAATTTATGTGATTTATCAGGTACAGATAATCCAATTATTGATCTAAAATGGCCACAATAATGTTTTTAATGTTAAAAACATTAAGAATAAGCTCACCACCAGGTTGAGGTGTTGGTCTTGCACCACTGACGGTTCCATTTACATCAACACCAGTTCCTGCTCCTGCTCCAGGTACAACAGAGCCTGGCTGGCCTTAAATGCCGAAAAGAAAAGATAGTTATTAACTAATTCCTTTTAAATCCTATTTAATTGATTGATTTTCCTCTGTATGTTTACCAAACTTAGCTGCTTTACTCCCTGCTGTTCCAGTGCCTGGGGACAGAAAAAAACTTTACTTGATTTCACCAGGAAATAGTAAGAAAACATATACAGATAGCCAAGTTAGACCACAAAACTTTTTAATCTGAATTTAAAAACATTTTTTCTTGCACATTATTATTGTTTTTGGTTTGTTTTGATGTTTTGTTTCATTCCTAAACTGTCATCCAAGTCTGGAATGGACAAAAAAGTAACAGTGATTATTGTTGACAGAACTCAGTAAATTCAAAGTAGCTGGTATGATTTTTATTGGCTGCTTATGAGAGTTGTCAAAAACACTTTGACCACTTTGCAATGGCAGAAAACAATTGCCAAAATGAAAAATGTGAAAAGTTTATATCTTTGACGGTATCTACCGTCTGATAATGTCTGAGAAAAGCTGCGTAGAATACGTCTATTCTTGTTCAGTCGTCCTATAGCAGCATATTTGTAAAATAATTTCAACCCATAATCTCTTTGCTCCATAAAGAGAACTAATTGTTTAAACTAATTGTTTACCTTTACGATATTAAACAGACCAAACTAACCTTGACCTCCAGATCCAGGTCCATAGCCACCTATAAGAACATCAAACCAAAGAATAAGAAAAAAAACATTTTCAGATTATGGCAAAAAGTGTTTTTAATTAGCTTAAGAGAACGAAAAGTGTCAGCACACAAACACCAAAAGAAAGGACTCATCACCTCTTCCGGCTCCCCCTCCAAGCACTCCGCCACCACCTGTTCCAACTTGGCCTTTTGCAAAAAATGTATTAGAAAGAAAAATCAGCATTTCCTGTGATTACAAACATTCCAAAAATATGAATTTATTGAAAATGTCATTTTCTTTCATACCGTATTTAGAACGTTTAGATCCAGGCCCATAACCTGTGCATATGAGAGAAACTTTACTTCAACAGGTTTCAAGCTGTAACTAATCTGAGTGTATTCAAGAGATGAAAATGTCCTCTTAACCTGTCCCATATCCAGCTCCCGGGCCTACACCATAACCTCCACCTGGCACATAACCAGTTCCAGCTACCGAGCCACTTCCAGGTCCATATCCTCTGCCAACACCAAGAGATGCTCCAGTTCCTGGACCCCCAAATCCAGGAGATCCTCCTCCACCAGGAAGTCCTGTTAAGAAGAGAGTTTACAGCTAGCTTATAACTAATCAACATATTCATATTTGTCATATAAACAATTAAACATAACATCATAGTTACAGTTAAAGTCAAAAGCTAATCTAACGTACAATTGTTTTCACTTTTTAAATGAGTCAAATAAATATTAAATCCCACCATATTTGAGAGACTTTGCACCACCAGGATATCCTAAAAGCAGAGAATTAAAACATTTACACAGAAGATCTTTTTACATCAACATTATTAATTTATTTAATAATGCTCCCCTTTTTGAACAGTGACTTCCTGTTCAAAAGGGGAGGTGCTAATATGGCGTCGTGGTGGTGAATGTGATCAGTGCTGGTCTGTTTTGACACACATGGTTTCATCTAGCTGTATTCTTGTATGTGGAAGGTATTACATCCTGATATTTTATGGTGAGTGGTCAGATTTTGGCTTGCCCACAGCCACATGCTTTGATATAGCACAGAGCTTCTGATAACTTTTGATCATCAATGCCTGCAGTCAATGCTTGTAGGAGGAGATTGATTATATACAATGTGCTTAAAACGGACAAAATGGTGACTTTGATTCAAAACGATCAACTTTTTGTGGGGTTTGAATTGAACCATGGCTACAAGAGACTATTTTGTTAGTCGTGATAAGTTGCACATGTGTACTATAATATTGTGATTGTTGGTCAAATCATGCGTTGGGCTGATTTGGGGGCTGATTTAAAAAAGAAAACAATTCGGTAACACTTTATCTGAAGGGGGATGAATAAGACTGTCATGACACTTTAATAAACATGACATAACACCTGTCATGAGCATGAATAAGCCTTCATGAATATTTATGACTGTTGTCATAAAGCATAATTTGGTAAATTATGACACTTTTGATACAAAGTTGACATTATTCAAAATGTCTTTATTATGACAACTTGACATTAACCAAGAAATCATTACTGTTTAAACTTTACCTTTAATAATATAAAGTTACATAATTTTTAAAGTGCAATCAGTAATACTTTTATAACAAATTTATATCAGTAATGATTTCTTGGTTAATGTCAAGTTGTCATAAAGACATTTTGAATAATGTCAACTTTGTATTAAAAGTGTCATAATTTACCAAATGACGCTTTATGACAACAGTCATAAATATTCATGAAGGCTTATTCATGTTCATGACAGGTGTTATGTCATGTTTATGACAGTGTCATGTCAGTCTTATTCACCCCCTTTCAAATAAAGTGTTACCAACAATTCTAACGGCACTGTGGAGGAATTAGGCTATGACCATGAAATTTTGTATTGCATTCTTTTTGGAGGGTAGGTTAGGACCAATCATCAGTGTGGTGCAGCTTGGTGAAATATGTGGAATTTAGAACCAAATGTAAGGCAGAAGCTTACAGGCTTTCTTCACTGCACCACCGTTGCCATACCCTCCACCGAAAACTCTTTGTGCTTCATAACAAGTTAGACCAACGTGTTGTCTGTCTTCTGACACAAGATGATTGTGATTAGGTGAATGGGGTCGGAGATGGAAAAAAAATGACACTTCCTGTTCTGGAGGGGCAGGGCTTAGATGACCTCAGCATATGACTACATGGTATCATCAGTCATCCAACATGGAAGACTAATACCAAGTTTGGTTCAATTTGGGCTTTCAATGTGAAAGTTACAGCGTTTGGAAATCAGGCCATTTGTGAAGATGCATGCATAAAAACTCCAGCTTTTGATAACTTTTAATACCCAATGCCGTAAGGCCATATTGACCAAGTTTGAAACTAATGGCTCAAAATCAGTTTGTTAAAGTTCAATATGTATAAAAAAATAAAAAAATGACCCTTTAATGTTTCTTGTTGGGTTTAGGGCATACCTCCAACAACCTTTTGTTTTTTGTTTCAGTGGGTTCTACCTACAAACCAAATTACCAGTTGACCTGTCTCACGTCAAAATATAAAAATTTCAGTTGAGGGACAGTTTTGGGTGAAGATTGGTTAGTTTTGTATATGTTTAGGCCTCCAAGTTAATTTATTTGAAATACAATAGACCTTCACAGCGCTTTCACTGCTCGAGTCTAATAAGGAAGAATTTGACACATGGGTATAAAATGATGACACAAACTGGTAAAAAAAAAAAAAAAGCTAATTCCAAAGTTGTTGCAGACATTTTGACAATATTCTTTTTCTATTTTTACCTCCGGCAGTGCCTGGTCCAAAGCCTCCTGCTAAACCTCCTGTTCCAATGCCAGAACCAGGTGTCCCTCCTGTCCGGACTCCTGATCCAGGCCCACCACCAGTTGCCACCCCACCTCGTCCAGGAAGCCCTCCACCAACTCCAAGTCCAGACCCTGGCCCAGTTCCAACCCCAAGTCCTCCTGCCCCCAGGGCACCTCCCACGCTTCCAGGGACTCCTGAAAAGAGAATTTCTTTCTTAAAGGGAAAATAGACAAACTATTTTGATCAAAAAACTCATGTCATTGAAGATAGATATTACTCAACAAAGATTTGACAACATGAAGTAATGTCATATCAATTACTGCCTGCAGGATTAATTGATCAGACTGTCTGTTGGTAGAAACAATAAAATCACAAGTGTACTACAATGTTCATCAGATATTGGATATTTTGAAGGTTGCCTCACCATATTTATTTGCTTTTGCTCCTGCAGATCCTGCAGATAAATCACAAGTACTTTAAGAACTATAATAACCAAGTTAAACATATTAGAGTATATGTTTGTGTTTTTTATTTTACCTCCGGGTCCATAGCCTATACCAGCTCCACCAGGAACAACGCCACCAGGTCTATAGCCTGTACCAGCACCACCAGGGACGCTACCAGGTCCATAGCCTGTACCAGCTCCACCAGGAACCACGCCACCAGGTCCATAGCCTATACCAGCTCCACCAGGAACCACGCCTCCTGGCCCGTATCCTGTACCAGCACCACCAGGGACAATGCCACCAGGTCCAACTCCTCCTGGCCCGTATCCTGTACCAGCGCCACCAGGTCCAATTCCAGCTGGTCCTAATCCTGTTCCTCCAAGTGCTCCGCTCAGCATGCCTACAATGTGCAGAATCATAATGTTGTCTTAGTTTTAGGAAACAGTTGCAGAAATATTTTATACATCCATATTTTACAGTTTTGGAATATTCTTACCATATTTACGAGCTTTGGCACTGGCATCATATCCTGAAATAAACATATAGTATTAGACGGGTTTCAATGAATGGGAATTAAAGTGATCATGTTCTCTTAATGGGTAGTTATAAAGGGAGATTATGGCTACAATTACACTCTATAACTGTATCTGCTGATTTACCCCCAGTTCCTGTTGCAGTGCCAGTTCCTCCAGGTCCATATCCAGTCCCAGCACCACCTGGTACAACTCCTCCAGGTCCATATCCAGTCCCAGCACCACCTGGTACAACTCCTCCTGGTCCATAGCCAGTCCCAGCACCACCAGGTACAACTCCTCCTGGTCCATAGCCAGTTCCAGCACCACCAGGTACTACTCCTCCTGGTCCATAGCCAGTCCCAGCACCACCAGGTACTACTCCTCCTGGTCCATAAACAGTCCCAGCACCTCCTGGGCCAATACCAAGCCCTGATCCAGGCCCTAGTCCTGTACCTTGGCCAAGTCCTCCTCCTAGCTGTCCTCCTAGACCGCCCCCTGTTGTGCTGGGACCAACTCCAGTTCCACCAGGACCTACATCACCAGCAAAGAGTAAAGACAATTTATTGCTGTAAAATAGTCAAATCTACATATTTTAGATGTAAGTTGCATGAAGGCATGCCTCACCATATTTGCGTGCTTTTGCTGAGCCGGGACCATAACCTGTGTAAAATGTAATATCAGTTTATGCACTGAAACGTGTACTTGAAATTGAAGTGTGCTATTAAATAAAATATTAGAGGAATTATTGATTAGAACATTAACAGAAGAAAAATGTCTTTGTTAGTTGTGTTTTGCAACTTGGTTTCCCTCAAAGAGCAGAAAATAAACCATGTGTGCTGCTGCACCTGGTCCGATTCCTCCTGGTCCGACTCCGCCTAGTCCGACTCCGCCTGGTCCGACTCCTCCTGGTCCGACTCCGCCTGGTCCGACGCCGCCTGGTCCGACTCCGCCTGGTCCGACGCCGCCTGGTCCGACTCCGCCTGGTCCGACTCCGCCTGGTCCGATTCCTGTTCCAGTTCCACTTCCTGCTCCAGGGACTACACCTATGCCACCTCTAGGAAGTCCTCCAGTGCCTAAGGCTCCTCCCTGACCAAGATGGCCTCCTCCAGCTCCAGCACCACCTCAAGAAAAATAACGTTTACCAAAACATCAATGATGCATCCAGTCAGCTTGCCACAGTAAGTTACAGATTACAGATTTGAGTTACCATATTTGGCTGCAGCTTTGGCTGGTTTCTTTGATTTTCCTGTCCCTAAATCGAAACACAAAGGTTTGAATATCGATTTAGTTTATTCAGTATGTCCTTTGCATGTATTATTGTTTTCATAGAAATGTTTTTCTGCATTTAGAAGTCCTGATGTACCTGATTTTGGTGATATTAGAGGGTAACCATGAAAAACTCCAGATAAAGTTTGTCCTCGACCATCTAAGACGAGAAAGACAAAATACAGAATTACATAAATGGGAACCTAGTATTTAAATTCTGAAATCAAATTAGTAACATTTGTATTTAATAACTTGTAGATTTAAGACCTTGAGACACTTACTGCTTCCTTGTCCTACCCCGCCTTGACCAAGTACTCCAGTCCCTGCAAAAAGATAAGTGTTGTGCCAAAACAAGTTCTCATATCGTTCATAACCAAAGCACAGTTACATACCAGTTTGAGGCCCAATTCCAGATCCAGTAACTACTCCAGGGAGAACCCCTCGGCCTCCAAAACCTTATCAGAGGACATTGAAAGACTAATATTTTTTTTCCTCCCTACAATACACGATACTCCATGTTACATATAGCTCTACAACACACCTTGACCTGGTACAAATCCACCCTGATAAAGTCCAGGTACGCCGATGCCTGTGTAATTCATAATTATATTAAGAATATCTCAAGGAAAAATTGTTTTTGTAACAGATTGATTAAGCTCATACCTGGAACTTGCTTGGATGCTTTACCACCACTTTTTCCTCCAGCTCCTGCACTAGTCTGAGGTAATATCGGAGCTGCAGAGAAAATTTACAGTTAATAAAAAAACACATTATGCATTTAGAAATAAAAAATGTCGCACGATATGACAAATAACAGACATTTTGTTTTTAAACCTTAAAGTTTTGCTGAATTTTATTAAAATTAAAATGCTGTTTTTCAAGGCCTGTTGACCTTTGCTGCATGTTTTTCCTCCTCTCATAACTCATTTTCCTGGCGAGCTACTTTCAAAAAGCCAAAAAAAATAAATAAATAAATCATTTAAAAGAATATAAACTAGTCACACGTGAAGGAACAAGAGCAAATGGGGATGAATACAGATGCACAGCACAGTTTTCAAGTTTGTGTTTCAAACAAATTTTAAAACAATATGCTCCTTCTACTTTACAAATGTGTGCCGATCTTAGTTTGACGAATAAAATTCCAATAAAAAAACAAAGATTTGTGGTTGTAACATGACAAAATCTGTACAAGTAGAAGGAGAATGAACCTTTTAGCAAGGCACAATAGACAAACATTTGCAAATTGTTGGCTATATTATAATTTATTCATCACCTCCGCCTGGAAGAGTTCCACCAGGTCCAACTCCTGCACCCCCAGGCCCAAATCCTGTACCCCCAGGTCCAACTCCTGCACCACTAGGCCCAAATCCTGCACCCCCAGGTCCAACTCCTGCACCACTAGGCCCAAATCCTGTACCCCCAGGTCTAAATCCAGTTCCTCCAGGCCCATAACCTGTTCCTCCAAGAGATGTTCCAGCACCACCTATGGTAACAAAAACACATCAACCACATTTAGCTAAGAACCGAAGTGGAAAACAGGTTTTGAAAATGTACTCACCTGTTTTGGGGAGTTTGGGACCATAACCACCGCCATATCCTCCATAAACACCTAAAGACATTTAGGTAAATATTAACGATTATATGTAAATCAGTTTGAGTTACGTTATTATGACTTAATTCCCAGAGGTCAGTGTTAATGCTTCTTTCAACTGGTTGAGCTAATAATGTAAACTAGTTTATAATACTGGGACATATACCTTAATTTTAATCTACTTCTGTAAAATTGGCTTTGTTGCTATAGTTTTAAATATTGAAACATATTATGATTTTCTAATTTTGTTTCATTTTTATCTTTATATAAGTCTGGTTTGTTAGATTTATTTACCTTTTGTTGAGTTTTGTACTTTTTAAACTTCGGTCATCAAACTGTTACTAAAGCTGTTCTTCCAATATTTGATTATGTAAATCATAATGTTTGGGAATTAATAGCCTCTAATAGAGGCCTAATAGTAGTTAAGTTCATTACCTTAGAAATGAAATTTTCTTAAACCTGCCTTAAAAATATTCATAGTCAACTTGCAAACAAGGACAAGTTTCAATTATAAGTTAAACATGGGAAAAGACATCAACTTACATTCTGTGTAATAAAAACACAACAAATGGAGTTTAACAGATAAAATAAGTACATTTAACTAAAGGTTTGTCTATAAATGTTTTCTATCCTCTTATTGACCCATATTCTGCCCACCAAGACAATGGGTGGATTTCAAAAGGTTTGCCAAAACTGGGGCTTATCCTATGAGAGCTGCTTTCATCATATCACCAACATTTTTCATCCTGCACAGTCAAGGCGCATGTATGAGGGATGAAAAACAAGGAGGCCTCAAATTCCAAAGCAAATCCGTCTGGCTGACGTAATGACTGCCATTGTTTATTGAGGGACTCCCATGCCTAACACATTATATCCTTTATCACTATGTGTGCGGGTGGTCCCTGAACAATAGCCTATAATGTTGATGTCAGAGGAAATGAAATAATGGTCTATGTACACAGTATTTATCTTCTAGTTTAGTGTTGATATAAAAACAATATTTACATTAATCTGCTATTAGCATGGTACAAGAGTTTAGACTTCAGGTTATGTTTGTTCGAGTAACTTTCACTGTATTAAATAAGCAGCCTGCAAACTAAGTGTTTAGATTCTGCACATGTTGCAGGAACTTTTGCTTAATATTTAGTGCCTTGACAAATATTGAATATACTTTTAACAGTTTTTTATGTTATAACCACAGACTTCAATGTTTGTTAGTAGAAATTTTTGTGAAGTTGGAAGGAAAATGATGCACACAGTATGCCTCAGTGAATGTTTTGCCCATTTCTCATTGGAAAACGACTAAAGATCAGTGAGATTAGACTGAGGGCATCTCTGAGAACTGCAACAGATTCTCATTTGCATTTAGCTCTAGGTAAGCCAACCCTTAACCCTAACCTGTCTTTTTTTGTCATTTGGTTTTCATCATCCTGTTTGTTCACCGGTTTTCTCCCACAAACATGAGACCTTCACAGAACATTTGTATATACTGAGATTAAATTACATTTTTTTACTCTGTAAACTAATTAGCTTAGAAGACAATTGCTTATGCTGAATCTAACTTGATTAAAGGTAGCAGAATAGATATGAATATGACCAGCAAACCTTTCATATTTTTGTTGGTATCATCAACCATTTATCATTTAACTTCTGTTTCTCAGTTACCTGCTGCTTTGTGTTGATGTATCAAACAAGAATCCACATAAAACCTTGAAGTTTCTGGTTGTAATTCGAAAAGACGCGATGACTAATGGCTTAAGTAACTTCCATGACTGATTTTTCTATAAGTCGGTTATTGTAATCAGGCAATTATTCTGATTTTAAAAATTTAAGTACTATTTGGTGAGTTTTATTATCATTCACTAAATGCTCAGAATGCTTAAAGTAAAAACCTAAAAAATCAATTCAAAAATAATTTTAAGAAAACTTTTTTTACCTGGACCGACTCCACCAGGTCCGACTCCACCTGGACCAACTCCACCAGGTCCAACTCCACCTGGACCAACTCCACCAGGTCCGACTCCACCAGGACCGACTCCACCTGGACCGACTCCACCAGGTCCAACTCCACCAGGACGAGTTCCAAAGCCTCCAGGACCGACACCACCTGGTCCCAGTCCTCCTCCTACACCTCCAGCTCCCTGTCCAAATCCACCATAACCAGCGCCTGCAAAGAAATGGAAAGCTTTATTTTTGCCTTAATGCAGTTGCAGCAACAGTTTGCGATCCATTTCTACAGATCCTACCTGTTTTGGGAGGTTTTCCACCTGGAAGAAGAAACCAAACATGACAGTTCACTGCTGGTGAGTTTACAGACAAACATGGAATCAACAGCAAACTGGAACAAGCATTTCTCACCAGCTACTCTCAGTCCACTACCGGCTGGACCAAATGTACCAGGCCTGAAACTCCCAGGTCCAACTCCACCAGGTCCAACTCCACCTGGTCCAATTCCACCAGGTCCAACTCCACCTGGTCTGACTCCACCTGGTCCGACTCCGCCTGGTCCGACTCCGCCTGGTCCGACTCCACCAGGTCCAACTCCGCCTGGTCCAACTCCACCTGGTCTAACACCTCCTGGTGCTATGCCTCCAGGTCCTAATGCCCCGGGTCCTTGTCCACCATATCCTCCTAAGGTACAAGTGAATTTAAATTGGTTTATTATTCACAAAAGTTTCTTAATGCAGCCATTTCCATCAGGCATGTAGCTCAATATTCTTTACAAAAGGAATTATAATGACATAATTTACTTGTGAACATTTAAGACCTTTCCTGTGTGTTTTCCAGTTTGTTCAAGGCAGTGTTCTCCTAGCTTCCCAAAAGTTCAGTTAATTGCAACTTATCTCAATAATAAGATAGCTGTTGTTGCACAAACAAACTTTGCACCATTGGCCCTTCTGACACACACCAGGGTGAAGCGTCCTGCTTTAACGGGGGGTGGACAGACCGGGAATCGAACCGGTGATCCACCAATTACAGGGCGAATTCCTACAGTCACCCCTAATCATAATATCGGGATATCTTGAAACTGATGCTTTTACGCAAGGTTATCATACCAACTCATGCCTAGACACAACATACTTATAGGCGTCACTCGGCAATGATCAAAAGTATAACTAATGTCAGCTCAGATAGATCTACACAACATAGATGGATGTTATAGCTCAGAGGTGAAAAAAGCTTAACAAATTTCAGTCTATTTTTTCTTTTTGGTTGAAATCGACATGGAATTGATTATCTTTGAAACAAAAACACATGGTCCCCCAGCAAGTGTCTGATTTTATGAGCACAAGTGTTGGAAATAAAAACTAAATTCATCTAAAGTCAATCAAACAGGAAATGTGATCACAGTCAATAAAACCAAGAAGAAAATGAGCTGTCATCTACCTCCACCGAGACCAGCACCAAGACCCGCTCCACCTCCACCAAAGCCTGTTCCAGTTCCTGCTCCAGTTCCAGCACCGCTTGGCCCAAATCCAGCTCCTGGACCGGCTCCGGCTCCTCCAGAGGATGGTACATATACACCTGGTTACAAACATCAGTGTGAAAAAAGAAAAAAACGTTGTCTTAGCTATAAACATGCAGCCTCAAATTTTGAATTTAGGATACATGCAAAAGAAAACTTTATTTTTATCTTACTTTGAGTTTGTGTGAGTGTTTTTGTAAGTGTTGATTTATCTGCAGCTGATAACAAACACTGCCTAACCGAAAAGGCATGCCTCTCCGCTCATAATTCTCACACTTTTCTGCACCTATGTTCTGTATTTCACCAATCTCTGCTGCCAAAAATAGAAACACATGCAGGGAACAGCTATAAAAGGAAAAGCTTAAGAACCCACAGTCCAGATGTAGAACACAGTCTGCAGGGATTCCTGAAGAATGTGAGTTACTGATGTCACAGTAATGCCATGTACACTAACAACACAGTAAATAACTCAGCTGCTCAGTCACTCAGCTCTGTCTGCAGGCTCCTTTGAGATCTGTTGTTGCTTTAGAAAACAAATTGTACAAGCAAAAATGAAGACTTGGATCTACTAAAAATATGTTTTATTGGAAGGATGTGTCTCTACATTGACTGCAAGTATTAATTTTGGTTTTATTAACTTGTAACTATAAACTCAGCATAGTTACTTTAATGTAAAGTGGTTTAGTATTTTATGTTTGAGTTTAGATTTATTTACAGAAACATCACAATGTTGGTTTATTGTATTGTTGTTGTGTTGATTTGTAACCATTTGAAGATGAAACAACTGAATGGATCCAGCTGTAGTTAAAATGCCTTGCAAAAATATTTACAGCGTTGGAACTTTTTCACATTTTTCTCATATTCTAACAACAGACATTAGAGTTTTATGTTCATGGTTCATCCAACAGATGGAAAGGATGGGGTTTAATCTCAATATGAATACAGTTCTTACTGATCCAGAAACACCAAACAGGTAAAGTTGGAAACAATGTTTCTAGATCTGTTCATCAATAAAGTGAATGAGAGAGATCCGTTACAAAGACACGGTCATCAGTCAGACCACACAAACAACAAAATCATAAAGTTAGCCAAGAGGCTGCTCATTGGTGAGCTGTCAAACTCTCCACAAATCTGGCCTTTAAGGAGGAGTGGCAAGGAGAAAAGATAATGTTGAAAGAAAACAGGAAGAAGTCTCACTTGCACTGCACACCACCATGAACGCAACACCTTAGCTGTGCGGCTTGGCGATAGACATTGCTGTACAGTATTGGCAGCATCATGAGACTTCCCAGTTGGGATTGCAGCATCTTCGTGTAAATGCATTTATTTAGCAAAGACATGGAAACTGATCAGAGCAGGTAGGAAGTTAAATGAAGATAAACAGAACAGAAATTACTTTTATCCTCCCACAAAACTCAAATATATAATTTTTAATTAGGCGTATCAGAGTAAATATTAAACTTTTTTTTAAATCCTTGTATCATTTTCTTTATGCTTTACAACTTTGTTACTTTGTGTTGATTTGCTTATTCTCTCTATATATACATTTAGAAATATAAATTACATTAATGCCCAGTATGTACTTTAAAATAACAGTTACTCTCTTAATTAATGCATGATGTGTGAAGCATTTAACCTACAACTACGATTTGTCACCATATTAAATGTTTATTAGGAAGATTCTTCAACATCCTGGACTTTAGATGGAAAAGACACTTTGTCCTTTTAAGATTACAGAAAAGTCCTCAATGTTTTTAACCACTAGCCAGTTATTTTTAAAATATTCCCATGAAAGTCAAATATTTATGTTTAATTTTATTTAAAAAAGATGCTCAGGTTACCTGAGTTTTACAGCCAGATTTCAGGTGAATTGCACCTGTATCTTTACCCTAAAAGGTATTTAAAAACTTGTAGATATTTGGACATTTTTTGTAGGTTCTTGAATCTATGAAAAAAATATAAATACCTAAAATACATCACACATCTTAATTAACTAAATCTGAACTATGAAGGCCTAGAAGATCTCCAGTAGAAAATCTAATATTAACTTCACCTATGCATATTTTTCTGATGATGCATTTTATGTGACACCTGACCTGCAGGTGCTGCTCTGCATACATGCTCCGAAGGGGGACCCACCTCCTTGCTGCGACGGTTTCCACAGAGCCAGGAGAAGCACTCCATGCAGGTATGTGGCGACCGTCCCTCTCGCCATCTCGCTCCAAAATGTCACTCACCTCCCACACCGTCCAGGTTTTATTCCCAGCAAGCCTATCACGGCTCTCCAGGGCCTTTAGGAAGGAGGAGGGGGGAAAAGCAAAATGATGTTAATCAGGACACTGTCGATTGGCTAAGAAGGCGCAAGGAGAGAGATAGACGGAGAGAGGAGGAGAGAGAGAATAGAAATACTGCTTCACCTTGTTAAACCAATGGGCTGCACTTTATGATCCTGTGGTGCCAGAAAGAGGGAAAACGGAGGATAACAGAGAGAAAAAACAAGAGAACGAGTGAAGAGAGTTCATGAATTAAAAAAAAGAGGCTGTTTGTTTTTTCTCACATCCCTAACAAAACATGTAGCTTGTCGTGTTAAAGATTGCTGCTCATCACTGTGGTGAGTCAAGAATAACAAAAAACATAAGTCCTGCTACTTCGCTACCCAATAAAAACGGAAGGGCATTTTTCTAGCTTACATGTTGTGATATTTGTGTTTTGCTGAAGGTTTAAAAGCAAAACGGAAAGTGTTCAAACATCAATACTGTTTGCTAGAATGTGAACACCACCTGTAGCTTTAAAGGTACAATAATTAAACCATTCAAAAGGAAACAAAAGAATTAATCAAAACATTACAAAAATAATCCATTGATTGTTTTTAATTTGTCTGATATCGTGTCAAGGTGGTTACAGATATTCCTCTCCTTCCTCCGTGACACTTTTCAGCTCATTCCAGGGTTTGAAGGTGTTGCATATCAGGATTTCCTGCACCAGTGGGGTGACTGTTGCCAAATCTCTCTCACAGCAGAGCAGTAGAGGGCAGTGGTTGAATTTTAGATCTTTGCAGAGATGGATAATGCACCCTAAACCAGATAGCACATACTATCTGGTCCAGGTACTTTATACTCCTGCAGCAGACCCCTAGAAACCCTAAAAAGACATGTCTGTAATCCTTCTGTAGCCTCACATGCAGACAACCAAACTCATAGCACTTGCTTGAGGATAAAGTCTCCACTATTGTTCCATGACCAAAACAAAAGCCACATTACCCTTCCTAGATCTCAGATTCTACATTTTGATGTGGCTTCCTTTACAAAACCTTAAAGTAAGCTTTCCAGAGCGGCTCAGGTCTTTGATTCTTCGACAGTGTCCTTTCTTAAGCCCGGTCTGCCGCTCCACAAGTGTCTATAGGACAGTGAATGTTAACCGTAACAATGTCACCTTGTCCAGGAGCTTCTGAGTGTTGAGAAAATCTCAAACTCTTGTTGATCAAATTAAGAAGTTTCTGTAATTGTTTCTCACAAACCATACACAGGCAAATACTGTCCCTGATTTTGAGTCGCTGAATGTTTTTCCAAGTCTTTCTTGAAGCCAACAAATTCTTCAAACTCCTTCCAAGTTTTATGTTCTGGATCCTTCTACCTGTCTACTGCTTCATTAATCCCCAAACACGACCAAATCCTAAAGCCCTCCTTCTTCAGCAAACGGGACCTCTGATTTCCACCTTGACTAACACCAATAACCTTCAGGCAAAAACAAAGCAAGTAAAATATTGCTGAACTGAGTTAGATCAGCTACTCTGCAAAAACATAAAGTTTTACCAAGTATTTCTGGACCAGTTTCTAGTGCAGATGTCTTAGTTTACTTGAAATAAGACAAAACTAACTTAGAAGTAACTTTTCAATTAGTGAATAATTCCTTAATATTGATGAAAAAGATGCTGTTCCATTCGTAGATTATTTCACTTATGATACGACATCTTTCCCTTGTTTTGAGAGAAGCAATCTGCCTGTGGAAGTAGTATTTTTTTCATGAATATTAAGGAATCATTGACTTAAAACAAGCTCCTATATCTTCCTAAGTTAGTTTTGTCTATATATTTGTACTATAATGAGACCAAAAATACTTGGTAAAGTTTTGTGTTTTTGCTGTGTTTATGCCTCTTCTCTTCTACTGATGCTTTATGTACTGTACTTTGTGTCCAAAAGTCCCAGTTGCCATTCAGGATCCCTGGAAACAATCAGTTTTTTTATTAAGCAGTGGTTACTGTTAGGGGTATTTCTCCATGTTTGGGCTGCTCTCAGTTCCTCTGGCTGGACCGCTGAAACATGTTCCTGGTCTGGAGGGAAATGGACCTGAAAACAGATGAGGTGAACGAGCTAATGGCACCGCGACACTTATGGAGATTGAAGATGAGAGTAACACTTGCTGAAGTATCTGAAGATTTTCTTTAAGCAGAGTATGACTGATGTGCTCAGGTTCAGGTTACTAAATAAATGGCTTGTGAACTCCTGGATAAAACTAATATCAGATGATTCAACCTCCTTCAAGAGCAGATATTGGTAACTCATTTGATTTATGCACAAAATGAGGAAATGAAGTCAGTTTCTGTTTCTGAGAGCATTGCTTTGTGCACAGCAGCTCTGTTAATTGCTTTCTATTTGCATTTCTGTAAAACCTTTTGTATGTTAAAGGAAAAGAAAGGGGGGCCGTGCTACCTGAGTACCCATAATTGGTCTTAAAAGTGTAGCTTTATTACTGCATTTTTAGACCTGGTATGCTTTGTGTTTGGCTTTGATGGAGCTGCATAGTTATGCAGTGAACTAATGCTGAAACAATAATAATCAAAGATTGTAGGGAACAGAAATGTACATGCTAAGAGCCATATGCATGCTTTAGTTGTTGCCAGTAATACATATTTAATGTCAAGAATAAACGTAGAACATGAATATAAAATTGCAGTTCATCCAAATTTATAATTCAAGCCACATGCTTTATGCTCTGGATGTTTTATTGCTATTCAAATATTTGACACAAATGTCTACATCCATTGCATTACATTATGTACGTTTTCTCTTTTTGGTTTCACTATCAGCTTTTGTATCTTTTTGACAGCATAAACACTTATGAGATGAATCAACTTCTTTGTGGAGAGGGAGTCTCAAGTCATTACCTTAGTCTGAAACCTGAGACTGGCTGTGTAATAAAAAGCAGCATATTTTCCTCGAACAGCGGAGGGCATTAAAGGAATCAGTTTGCGTCTACACAGAGACAAAACAGGCCTGTTTATATATTGTTTGTACATTTTGACTGCAACTTTCCACAACAGTCACTTCCTAGTGGTGATGTCATGACACTCAAACCTGTAAACAGAAACAAAATTCAAGACCCAGAGTTTTGTTTTTCCTAAGTTTAGCTCTGCCTCTGTGCGAGATTTCACAAAACACCTGAGAACAATCAAGTGTACTAAGATTAAACATAACTGAGCTTTTGAGTTTTCACAGACATGACTTTTTGACTTCTTCTCTATGCACAATGTTGTGCAGCAATAATTAATAAAACTAGTAATTTAGACCCATAATACTAAGTTGGTTCACCTCTTGATCATCAGCAAAACAGCCAAATAGTTCAGTCTTAGATATTATTTATAAATACCTTATTGAGAAAGCTTAGGTTTTAAAATAATAGATGAAGGTGTTACATACTACACATGTATAGAATAAAAAAAACACGTCTTACCAAAATGGAATAGTTTATGAACAAAAAAGACTTCAAGTCAAATGCTTTTGTCAACAAACTTCCAAAGCATAAAACTACTGAAAGAACCAACAAAGTGATGCAATGATGTCACAGTTCAGTATGACTGCATGCTGGAAGCTATTAATCTGTTCAACCAGAGGTGGGCAGAGTGCCCAAAAGATGTACTCAACTAAAAGTAAAAAGTGGCCGCCCAAGAAATTACTCAAGTAAGAGTAAAAAAGTATTTGGTAAAAAGTCTTCTAAAGTACCTGATCAAATTATCATTTACTGTTTAAAAATTGCATCATCAGATGGACCAAAATATAAAGTGGAAATGTTGGTATTTGAAGGACAAAAATGACAAAAATTCATATAAGTAAAAAAAAAAATAAAATCTGGTAAAAGAACATTTTTCCAAATCAGTTTCTTTCAATATAAAACTTATGAAAATTTAACAAAACTGCAGGTCTGTGTCTGGTGAATTTTTAGTTAAAACATGTTTGTTTTTCATTTCTCTTACTTGAGAAATGAGAAATTTTACTTAAGTAAAAGTAGTGATACTTCATAATAAAATTGCTCAAAATAAAAAGCACAGAGTAGTAAAAATACTCCTAAAAGTTACTTATGTAAATGTAATTGAGTAAATATAACTAGTTACCCAACTCTGGTTAAAACTCCTGACAGTAAAATATGAGACGTGAAAAAGTAAAGCTCCTCTGGCTCCTCCTTGTGGCTGTTCTACAAACTGCAGAAACACACCGCTCAGAAACAACCTGGACAAGGAGGAAGGTCTTAGCGCTGCCAATCATGTTCATGTATGTGCTGCTCTTTGTACTAATAGCGAGAAACAACTTACGATTGCCAACAAAAAAAGTGTTTTAATAGTAAGAAATGATATTTATGAAACACAGTTTTGCTGCAGACCGAGTGTGTTTTCACCTTTAACCTCCTGACTGTGATGATTATGCTCAAACGCTGGTCAACCTTTGCAAAAGTCAGTCATTAAAGGAACTGTGACTTCCTCGCTTGGCCTATTAGAGGGTTAACAACAGGAAGCTGACCTCAATCCTCATCCTGCGTTGGTCCTTTTACAAAAACAAAACAGACAGAGATGAGACAAATAGGTAATTAATTTAAGCATTTCGTGGAAAAAAGCTGGAGTCTCATAAAAGTTATGGTTAGTCGCTCTAATTTGTGAACTTTGGAGATTTTATTCTCTTTTTTTCCATTCCTCCTGTTCATTGTTGCAATTTTAATTTAGATCTCTCCCGAGTCTTGACACACTTCCAGTAGTATTAAGATTTTATTGTTACTCTAACTCTACAAATTAGAAACATTAGGGGACCACCTATCATTTTGTTTCTATCTCCTGACTTACTGGGATTCAATTGAATAAAATGTCTTCTTGTCTTAACTATTTTGAGGCGTGTGTAGAGGAACCGTTGTGGATAACTAATAAAATTCTGAGATTAATTATTTCTCAACGTTTT